CTAATCATTTGATGACTACATGCCCTGTTAAAATAGTACAGTAGGTCATCTGTGATTCATATAGATGATCAGAACTTATTGTTCATGGTAGCCTGTGAAGAATGTTGAAAACACAGCTGTAGAACTGCTTTGCATCTTCATCACTATTGCTGTGTGCAGATTAGATCTGAGAACTAGATCCATGTCCACAATGAGAGACATTTCTGCTCCACAGTCTGACCATTTTCATCAGTCAGACCTCTTCACTTAGCATCATATTATTTCGGCAAATGTCCATGGTTTTTTTCATCCTTTACATAAATAACAGACCAGCAAACATTTAAAGCTTGAAAACGGAAAAGTGCCTGTGCCTTTTTTCAAACCAGGGACCTTTCACATGTGAGGCGGACATGATGACCACCACACTACAGAAAATGTGCTCTTCTATTCTCACTGACTCTTGTGGAGGGGAAAACAAAACAGCTGTCTGTGGTATAAAGTTAAAAGCTCACAGCTGTTAATGACGTAATCAAAAGCAGACTTTCAGAAGTTGTAATCAAACCCACACCTCCCGGAGACACTGTAACCTTACATTGGCACCTTGGATGGCTCAGCCATCCCCATAAGGGAGCAAGGTTCAAACTGGAGCTTTGTCCTGCTGTTGTCCCTGGGCTTTTCATTATATGGATATGTGGGGAAAGGTAGACTTTACACAATTTAAAGAGATGGAGTGGTCTTAGTCAGTAGCTCATTGAAGTCAGAAATAGCAGTCAATCTTCCCTATTTCTCTAGAAAATGAGTAGGATTGAGCATTTTCTGTCTGTCTGTGACAGCACTTTTTAAGGAAACAGGTAGCAATCGTAAGTTGATGTATAAGGTCAGATGCATTGGCCGGGAATCGAACCCGGGTCAGTTGCTTGGGAAGCAGCCTATTTTCTCCACTATACCACCAATGCCATTTGTAGAAGTGTCTTTATGTGTTGAATCATGGAAGGGCTGATGAGTGGTGAAGATAATGGACTGCCAAGTTTTTTCTCTCTGCAAGCTCAGGTTAGAATCCATCCATCCATCCATTATCAATACCGCTTATTCCCTCATGGGGTCGCGGGGGGAACTGGAGCCTATCCCAGTGGTCAACGGGCGAGAGGCAGGGTAAACCCTGGACAGTCCGCCAGTCCATCACAGGGTAGGTTAGAATCCAACCAACAATTTTGTTTTGGATACATGAAGTACCAAATAAAGTTAAGTCTTTTTCAGAGCATTTTCCGGCTATAAGTTGAACTTCTCAAAAAGCGAATGTTTTCCTGTAAATAACTTAGCCCTTGGGATCCCTGATGGGTTTTTTCCATTTAAAGTGTCTAAAAGCAACTTTAAATATTTAGGAGTGCATATCTGCCGCAAGATGTCGGATCTCTACAAGAACAACGTTCAACGCCTAATTGAAAAGCTTAAATCAGATCTGGAAAAATGGTGTAATTTGCATATAACTATAGCGGGAAGGGTAAATTGCATCAAAATGAACGTGCTTCCACGTTTTCTCTATCTTTTCCAATGCTTGCCGATCTTTTTACCCAATTCCTTTTTTCGTGCTATGAATAGGCTAATTTCATCTTTTATATGGAAAGACATGACTGCCAGAATAAGGAGAGAGCTTTTACAAAGGCATAAGTCTGTTGGTGGTTTGTCACTCCCTGATGTAAGACTCTACAATTGGGCAGCCAACATAAACAAAATTACTCTCTGGATCCGCGAACCTGAATTAATCTGGTGTAAACTAGAAAATAAATCCTGTTCTACGTCACTCCTAGCTCTACTTACACAAATATTGGCCTTTCAACCATCCCAACATACATGGAACCCAATTGTCATCTCCACTCTTAAAATTTGGCTCCAATTCAGACGTACTTTTGGACTCATAGGACTGTCCAATCACAGCCCCATACATAACAACCATCTCTTCCTCCCTCCTAGCATTAATAATGCCTTTTCTCTATGGCAGAGATCTGGCCTTGTTAGGCTAAGTGATCAATATATTAACAATGTCTTTGCTAGCTTCAACGAATTATGTGGAAAATTCAACCTCCCCATATCTCACCTATTCCGATACTTCCAGATTTGTAACTTTGTTAAATCCAATAGCACCTTTTTCCCCAATACCCCACCTAACTCAGTAATTGACTCAATTTTGGACATCCCCACAAATCAGAAAGGCCTTATCTCCAAAATATACACCTTAATATCCCATCTCAAAGAGACATCTCTTGATAAAATCAAGAAACACTGGGAACAAGAACTTGGCAGGGCTATTGATGACGGTGTCTGGGACACAGCATTAACTCGTGTAAATAACAGTACGTCTTGCTCCAGGCTTAATCTGATACAATTTAAGGTTGTCCATCGTATTTATTTTA